GGGGCTCTAGACGCCTCGCGCCCCTCCTCGGGCTCTAGACGCCTCGCGCCCCTCCTCGGGGCTCTAGACGCCTCGCGCCCCTCCTCGGAGCTCTAGACGCCTCGCGCCCCTCCTCGGAGCTCTAGACGCCTCGCGCCCCTCCTCGGAGCTCTAGACGCCTCGCGCCCCTCCTCGGAGCTCTAGACGCCTCGCGCCCCTCCTCGGAGCTCTAGACGCCTCGCGCCCCTCCTCGGAGCTCTAGACGCCTCGCGCCCCTCCTCGGAGCTCTAGACGCCTCGCGCCCCTCCTCGGAGCTCTAGACGCCTCGCGCCCCTCCTCGGAGCTCTAGACGCCTCGCGCCCCTCCTCGGAGCTCTAGACGCCTCGCGCCCCTCCTCGGAGCTCTAGACGCCTCGCGCCCCTCCTCGGAGCTCTAGACGCCTCGCGCCCCTCCTCGGAGCTCTAGACGCCTCGCGCCCCTCCTCGGAGCTCTAGACGCCTCGCGCCCCTCCTCGGAGCTCTAGACGCCTCGCGCCCCTCCTCGGAGCTCTAGACGCCTCGCGCCCCTCCTCGGAGCTCTAGACGCCTCGCGCCCCTCCTCGGAGCTCTAGACGCCTCGCGCCCCTCCTCGGAGCTCTAGACGCCTCGCGCCCCTCCTCGGAGCTCTAGACGCCTCGCGCCCCTCCTCGGAGCTCTAGACGCCTCGCGCCCCTCCTCGGAGCTCTAGACGCCTCGCGCCCCTCCTCGGAGCTCTAGACGCCTCGCGCCCCTCCTCGGAGCTCTAGACGCCTCGCGCCCCTCCTCGGAGCTCTAGACGCCTCGCGCCCCTCCTCGGAGCTCTAGACGCCTCGCGCCCCTCCTCGGAGCTCTAGACGCCTCGCGCCCCTCCTCGGAGCTCTAGACGCCTCGCGCCCCTCCTCGGAGCTCTAGACGCCTCGCGCCCCTCCTCGGAGCTCTAGACGCCTCGCGCCCCTCCTCGGAGCTCTAGACGCCTCGCGCCCCTCCTCGGAGCTCTAGACGCCTCGCGCCCCTCCTCGGAGCTCTAGACGCCTCGCGCCCCTCCTCGGAGCTCTAGACGCCTCGCGCCCCTCCTCGGAGACTCTAGACGCCTCGCGCCCCTCCTCGGAGCTCTAGACGCCTCGCGCCCCTCCTCGGAGCTCTAGACGCCTCGCGCCCCTCCTCGGAGCTCTAGACGCCTCGCGCCCCTCCTCGGAGCTCTAGACGCCTCGCGCCCCTCCTCGGAGCTCTAGACGCCTCGCGCCCCTCCTCGGAGCTCTAGACGCCTCGCGCCCCTCCTCGGAGCTCTAGACGCCTCGCGCCCCTCCTCGGAGCTCTAGACGCCTCGCGCCCCTCCTCGGAGCTCTAGACGCCTCGCGCCCCTCCTCGGAGCTCTAGACGCCTCGCGCCCCTCCTCGGAGCTCTAGACGCCTCGCGCCCCTCCTCGGAGCTCTAGACGCCTCGCGCCCCTCCTCGGAGCTCTAGACGCCTCGCGCCCCTCCTCGGAGCTCTAGACGCCTCGCGCCCCTCCTCGGAGCTCTAGACGCCTCGCGCCCCTCCTCGGAGCTCTAGACGCCTCGCGCCCTCCTCGGAGCTCTAGACGCCTCGCGCCCCTCCTCGGAGCTCTAGACGCCTCGCGCCCCTCCTCGGAGCTCTAGACGCCTCGCGCCCCTCCTCGGAGCTCTAGACGCCTCGCGCCCCTCCTCGGAGCTCTAGACGCCTCGCGCCCCTCCTCGGAGCTCTAGACGCCTCGCGCCCCTCCTCGGAGCTCTAGACGCCTCGCGCCCCTCCTCGGAGCTCTAGACGCCTCGCGCCCCTCCTCGGAGCTCTAGACGCCGCCCCTCCTCGGAGCTCTAGACGCCTCGCGCCCCTCCTCGGAGCTCTAGACGCCTCGCGCCCCTCCTCGGAGCTCTAGACGCTCGCGCCCCTCCTCGGAGCTCTAGACGCCTCGCGCCCCTCCTCGGAGCTCTAGACGCCTCGCGCCCCTCCTCGGAGCTCTAGACGCCTCGCGCCCCTCCTCGGAGCTCTAGACGCCTCGCGCCCCTCCTCGGAGCTCTAGACGCCTCGCGCCCCTCCTCGGAGCTCTAGACGCCTCGCGCCCCTCCTCGGAGCTCTAGACGCCTCGCGCCTCGCGCCCCTCCTCGGAGCTCTAGACGCCTCGCGCCCCTCCTCGGAGCTCTAGACGCCTCGCGCCCCTCCTCGGAGCTCTAGACGCCTCGCGCCCCTCCTCGGAGCTCTAGACGCCTCGCGCCCCTCCTCGGAGCTCTAGACGCCTCGCGCCCCTCCTCGGAGCTCTAGACGCCTCGCGCCCCTCCTCGGAGCTCTAGACGCCTCGCGCCCCTCCTCGGAGCTCTAGACGCCTCGCGCCCCTCCTCGGAGCTCTAGACGCCTCGCGCCCCTCCTCGGAGCTCTAGACGCCTCGCGCCCCTCCTCGGAGCTCTAGACGCCTCGCGCCCCTCCTCGGAGCTCTAGACGCCTCGCGCCCCTCCTCGGAGCTCTAGACGCCTCGCGCCCCTCCTCGGAGCTCTAGACGCCTCGCGCCCCTCCTCGGAGCTCTAGACGCCTCGCGCCCCTCCTCGGAGCTCTAGACGCCTCGCGCCCCTCCTCGGAGCTCTAGACGCCTCGCGCCCCTCCTCGGAGCTCTAGACGCCTCGCGCCCCTCCTCGGAGCTCTAGACGCCTCGCGCCCCTCCTCGGAGCTCTAGACGCCTCGCGCCCCTCCTCGGAGCTCTAGACGCCTCGCGCCCCTCCTCGGAGCTCTAGACGCCTCGCGCCCCTCCTCGGAGCTCTAGACGCCTCGCGCCCCTCCTCGGAGCTCTAGACGCCTCGCCCCTCCTCGGAGCTCTAGACGCCTCGCGCCCCTCCTCGGAGCTCTAGACGCCTCGCGCCCCTCCTCGGAGCTCTAGACGCCTCGCGCCCCTCCTCGGAGCTCTAGACGCCTCGCGCCCCTCCTCGGAGCTCTAGACGCCTCGCGCCCCTCCTCGGAGCTCTAGACGCCTCGCGCCCCTCCTCGGAGCTCTAGACGCCTCGCGCCCCTCCTCGGAGCTCTAGACGCCTCGCGCCCATCCTCGGAGCTCTAGACGCCTCGCGCCCATCCTCGGAGCTCTAGACGCCTCGCGCCCATCCTCCGAGCCAAAGAGGAAAAGGCAAGTCCTTGAAATGCGTCAGCCTATTGGATGTCTACACTCCCTATTGAGGACTGTTACTCAGCACGGTGCTGACCCAGCTGTTCTTTTATGATGTGCCTTGACCTACTTTATGTCTTATTAAACATTTTTTATGGTAATGCACTCGGCCACAGCTATGACTTGCAGAGGCATGATGGAACTTGTAGTCCTGCAACAGCTGGAGAGCCGCAGGTTGCCTACCCTGGCTTGGTCCTTTGCTCAGACTCTTGTTCCAGAGCCGACCTTGGGAACTGCTAGCCAGCTCCTACAATAAAGGTCCAGGGTTATCGGAATTCCTTGAAAGCATATGATATGAAATCCTACACCGGTACATGTCCCTGCTAATAATTATTCGGAGGCATATGGTAGCGGAGTTAAGAGCAGCAGTTATCTTAAAGCTTGTTGGTGGGGGAGGGGGACTACATACCAATATAAATGGTACATAGATATGTACCTTTCTAGGGAAAATACTGTTCCGGATGCCCTTCAGTGTTCACTTTAGCAGGGATCATGTTACAAAATGCCTGTGTTTGATCATATGGTTTTTAGTGAAAAATAGAATCAGATGAATAGGCTAGAGAAGAAATTCCTCAGGATTAAACATTTCAGCCTGTCTACAATTTATCTGTCCCTCCAGCAGGGCTATTAACTTGGTTTATTATTATTATACACGATTTATATTATTATTATTATTATTGTACAGGATTTATAATATTATACAGGATTTATAATATTATACACGATTTATATTATTATAATACAGGATTTATATTATTATTATATATTATTATTTATTATACAGGATTTATATTATTATTATTAATTAATAATAATAATAATAATAATAATAATATAAATCCTGAATAATAATAATAATATAAATCCTGTATAATAATATAAATCCAGTATAATAATAATAATATAAATCCTGTATAATAATAATAATAATATAAATCCTGTATAATAATAATAATAATATAAATCCTGTATTATAATAATATAAATCCTGCATAATAATATAAATCCTGTATATTTTTATTATACAGGATTTATATTATTATTTATTATTATCATTATACAGGATTTATAATATTATTATACAGGATTATATATTATTATTATTATTATACAGGATTTATATTATTATTATTATTATTATTATACAGGATTTATATTATAATACAGGATTTATATTATTATTATTATACAGGATTTATATTATAATACAGGATTTATATTATTATTATTATTATTATTATACAGGATTTATATTATTATTATTATACTGGATTTATATTATTATACAGGATTTATATTATTATTATTCTTATACAGGATTTATATTATTATTATTATACAGGATTTATATTATTATTATACAGGATTTATGGCGCCAACAGTTGGCTCAGCGCTTTACAATATAACGGGAGACAATACAGCAACAATACAGTTCAATACAAGAGGGATAGGAGGGCCCTGATCCTGGGAGCTTACAATCTAGGAGGGAGGGGCTTTTGGTACAAAAGGTAATAACTGTGGGGGATGGATTGGTACGAGGAATAGAATATTCCGGTATTAGCTGAAAGCAGGATAGGCTTCCCTGAAGCGATCGGTTTTCAGAGATCGCCTAAAAGTGAGCAGAATAGGCGATAGTCGGATAGATTGGTGTAGAGAGTTCCAGAGGATGGGGGAGGCTCTGTGGAAGTCCTGGAGTGTTTTGTTTTGGTTGGGTGCAGATGATAGGTATGTGTCATTTTAGTTTTGGTCTTAAGCAGATGTTTTTTTATTTTTCTTTTTCTTCCAATCTCTGTCTGTTCAGCCCCACCAGCGTCGATCCCCCAGATGCCCGCACCTCAACTCTTGCTGGATGGCCTTTCTGTGCAGCCTCTATTTAATGATATTTCAGGTCAGTTTTCTGTTTCTTGTCAAGAGGATATTAAAGTGAGACCAGAACGGATTAATTGGTTTTCTATGCATTCCTATGGGAAACCGCGTTTCGGTTTACGAATTTCTTGCCATACGAAAAGTCACGCAGAGCGCATTAAATTCGTAAACCGAGGTACGCCTGTATTTTGAGGGTGTGGTGCACTTTCAGAATGCGCAACAAACCTGCAGGATATAATATAAGTGCGCTTCCTTGGTTTGGGGTCCAGGGCCACATGTAGTCTGCAGGCCACAGGTTGAGCAACCCCTGCTATAAGGTTCAGCAGTAACATAGGAGTCCTAGAATGGAACCATAGTTCTTCTCTTGCAAGGAACTTTATTCTGGATATTTTTGTAAGCCGACAGTGTTGTTTTAAAGAAGGGCTAACCTTGCCTTTTTTTCGACAGTCCCCGTTTCTCAGTGGCGCCGGCATCTTTGGGTGCCGGTCTTCGGACATCTTCATTGGCTGGCGCAGGGTGATGTTACATGACGTCCTTCCACTCTAACCACGCATGCGCAGCTCTGGGAGCACGCAGTGCGGCGATCGGTGGTGCGCTGTGTCCCTGGGACACAGCAGATCACCGATCAACGGAAAGAGCCGAAGATGTCGGCTCGGTCATGTGATCAGCTGTGTCCAATCACAGCTGATCACATGTAAATAGGGAAATGCCGGTTATCGGTATTTCTCTCCTCACGAGCTGTCACGCTGACAGGAGTGGAGAGCCGGTAATCGGCATTCTTCGGAGGGGACATGTACACTGATCATCAGTGTGCCCTGATGATCAGTGTAGCCCCAGCAGTGCCACCTGTCAGTGCCCATCAATGCCAGCTGTCATTGCCCTCATTGCCCATCAATGCCACCTGCCAGTGCCACATATCAGTGCCTACCAGTGCCCATCAATGCCACATATCAGTGCCCATCTGAGCTGCCTTTCAGTGTCACCTACCAGTGCCAGTCACTGCCACCTATCAGTGCTGCCAGTCACTGCCACCTATCAGTGCTGCCAGTCACTGCCATATGAGTGCTGCCTTTCAGTGCCACCTATCAGTGCTGCCAGTCAGTGCCACCTATCAGTGCCACCTATCAATGCCTGTCAGTGTCGCCTATCAGTGCCATATGAGTGCTGCCTTTCAGTGCCACCTATCAGTGCTGCCAGTCAGTGCCACCTATCAGTGCCGCCTATCAATGCCTGTCAGTGTCGCCTATCAGTGCCATATGAGTGCTGCCTTTCAGTGCCACCTATCAGTGCTGCCAGTCAGTGCCACCTATCAGTGCCGCCTATCAGTGCCATATGAGTGCTGCCTTTCAGTGCCCATCAGTGATGCCTGTCAATGCCCATCAGTGCCCACCTACTAGTGCCTCCTCATCAGTGCCACCTATCAGTGCAGCCTATCAGTACCCATCACTGCAGCCTCATTACCGCACATCAATGAAGGAGAAAAATCACTTACTTACAAAATGTTTTAACAAAAACTAAGAAAAAACCTTTTTTTTTTTTTTTCAAAATTTTCAGTTTTTGGTCTGTTTAGCAAAAAATAAACCCCGAGGTGATTAAATACCACCCAAAAAAACCTCTATCTGTCTCAAAAAGATGATAAAAATGTCATATGGGTACAGTGTTGCATGACTGCGCAATTGTCATTCAAAGTGCGACAGCACTGAAAGCTGAAAACTGTCCTGGGCAGGAAGGGGGGTATAAGTGCCCTGTAGGCGAGGGGTTGAAGGGAAATGGGCAGCTCATGGTTGGTCTTTCTGCAGGTATACCGCCCATCACTGCTTACAACAAGAACGGCCTGAAAATAGACTTCAGCTTCGAGAGGTCCAGCACAAATGCCAGCGTGACTGTGATTACAACTCAGGCGTTCAACAGCACAGACAGCGAGATGACGGAATACGTGTTCCAGGCAGCAGTACCAAAGGTATTTTATGTTTTATGGGTAACATGCGATATGCGTCATCGGCAAGCAGCCTTCCAGATGTTATAGCCGGGAGCTTCATCTGATGATATTTTGCCTTCTGGCCGGCAGAGTGCTTTACAGCCCCCCCCCCCCCCCCCCCCCCCCCGCCTCAGTACTCCTCTCTCCTCCTGATGCAAGCAGTGGGCTGGCTCTCAAGAGGAGCTATAGAATCAAAATCCCTTGATCGGTGGGTGGCCTTCTGGAGGATCGGGCATCCTCGGCAAACTGCATTTACATGCAGATGGTAATGCCGCATGTAATACTGATCTGTGCCCAAAATGACCGAAGTCTGGTGAATGAAAGAGGCAATTCAATGACAGTATGGCCGGGGAGGAAAGGACTGTCTTGGAAATTCGCTTTTAACGAATTTCTCCTTACCGTGAGTACTCGCAGTTGGATGCGCAGCAATCCCCCATAAAGCTGTGCGAATCTCGCTTACCGCGACTGCAGCTAAACTCCACGATTCCTGCGCCTCCAACTGGTTTAGCTATCTCGAGATGTGGGAAAAATGGAGCTCCAGTTACCTAGGAATGATCACACGACACTCTCAGGTTGCTGTTGGAATTCACATAGAGCGCGTTTTCATTCTCAGCCTCTGGTTTTATTACAAACACGCAAGCCCCCCCCCCCCCCCCACGCAGGGGGGGGGGGGTCAAGTCAATCCCCTCCCACAGAACAATGCAATGGGGAGTGTCTATACACAGAATGTACATCCTGATTGGAGCATAGCCTTTCCTTTTATCTATACTGGAAACCAGTTCTCCCCTCCCCCTTTCCCATGGTGAGCTCTCTGTGGAGAGCAGGCTTCCCATCCTATCAGCTCCTACTAGTATGTCCATTCTCTGTACAAGCATCCCCTAGATTAAACAGTGTCAGTCTGTATCTGAATGGGCCCGATACGATCTTTATTAAAACACATCCATCCAGATACAGTTTCAGGTTGGTAATGGCTTGTAAGATATCCATGAGCCTACACGCGGAGTTCGCACTGCTTGGCGCCTGGCGGTACGAAGTCCATGTGGTACTATGCTGCTGATATGTGGATACAGGCCCGTGGCCTACCGCCGGCGGCATTCGCATCGAATGGTGGTATACACGCAGATCTGCCATCTCATCCATTACCGAGCTGAGTACTGTAATACAGACATTGTACATGCGCATGGCCTAATTGCAGCCTTCAGAGCTTTAATGAAGCCACACGAGAGACATATGAATAACACTCATATATGACACATTTAAAGTTCAACCTGTAAATACAAAATTTCCATGACAAGGACTAGGTCAGGGGTAGGCAGCCTGAGAGCCGCAGGACTACAAGTTCCATCATGCCTCTGCAAGTCATAGCTGTACCTGTCAGTTTTGTAATCTATGCAATGCCTCATGGGAAATGTAGTTCCACAACAGCTAGAGAGCCGCAGGTTGCCTACCCCTGGACTAGGTAATGCTTTACTTCAACCAGGAAATGAGATGGACTTTATCTGCTGGTGCCGGCTCCCTAACAACCGATCAGTCATCCTTGCTGAGTCTCTGGTTGCTAGGATGCCAGCGGGTGCCGACTCCTAACAGCCAACAGAAATGACAGGCAGAATCGCATTTCAATGCGTTTTTGATGCAGAAAAAATGCAAGATGTTCTACTTTTGTTGACCGCATTGGAATGTACTGCACTGATGTGAACGATACCTATAGACTGAACTACTGTCCATGCGTTTTTGATGCAGATTAAAGGATAAGTTCACCTTTTAGATAAAAAAAAATGCTAATTTTTTTCCAGGTAAAAAAATGCGCATTTATAATTTTTGTCTGCAGGAGCCTGTAAACCGTTGCACCAGCGATCAGGTGCCATGCAGGTCCCCTGCAGATCTGTCAGTATATCGGCTTCCTAGTCCGGGATTTACGAGCAAGCAGATATACTGACGGGAAGAATGAATGAACCGTCTTGTGGTAGTTCATTGAGGACTACAAGCGGACAGCCAGTAAGGCTGTTGGTACTTGTGTTCTCTCATTCACAGATGACTGTGAATGAGTAATGTGGCTGTGTGGGCGGAGCCTCGCACAGCCACGTTTTAAAAAAAAAAAATTGCCAGCTAATGAGAAGGGAGAAGATCCCTCCAACTAGCTGTCAAAGTGGGGATCTGGGGGGAGCGGGGGCCAGTCTGATCATTACATGTTACACCGTGGACAGCCAGTACGGTTGATGGGACTTGTATTCTCATTCACAGACGAATGTGAATGAGTGACGTGGCTGTGTAGGCGGAGCCCCGCACAGCCACGTTTTGAAAAAAAATGTGGCAGCTAACGAGGGGGGAGAGGATCCCCCCCCCACTAGCTGTCAAAGTGGGGATCTGGGGGGAGCGGAGGCGGGTCTGATCATTACATGTTACACCCTGAATATGGGTGTAACGTTACAAAAGGTGAACTTATCCTTTAAAAACACACTGGACCGCATGTTGCGTGAACGGACCTGTACAATTTCTGCAGCGTTTTGCAGAGTCGCAGTATTTATTTCAGGTACTTATATAGCGCCATCATTTTACGCAGCACTTTACATATATATTGTACATTCACATCAGTCCCCTGACCCTCAAGGGGCGTATCTAAGGTCCCTAACCCTCACAGGGGCGTCAATCTAAGGTCCCTAACCCTCAAGGGGTGTACAATCTAAGGTCCCTAACCCTCAAGGGGCGTACAATCTAAGGTCCCTAACCCTCAAGGGGCGTACAATCTAAGGTCCCTAACTCTCAAGGGGCGTACAATCTAAGGTCCCTAACCCTCAAGGGGCGTACAATCTAAGGTCCCTAACCCTCAAGGGGCGTACAATCTAAGGTCCCTAACTCACATTCATACATACACATACTAGGGACAATTTAGACAGGAGACAATTCACCTACCAGCATGTCTTCGGAGTGTGGGAGGAAACCGGAGTACCCGGAGGAAATTCGCGCAGGCACAGGGAGAACATGCAAACTCCAGGCAGGTGGTGCCGTGCCTGGGATTTGAACTGGCAACCCTAGTACTGCCAGGCGGAAGTGCTAACCGCACAGTCCATTTAACATGATTTCCTATGGGACAGGTTCACATCTCGGCGTTTTCACCTGGTGCGATTTTTGGAAAGGATCAGGGACTTTTTTTAACACAAAATGTTGCGTTTTTGGCTCTGTAGACTTCAGTGGAAGGGAGGAGGGGGGGGGGGGGGCGGGTACCCGAATTTGACAGGTACCTGCTCCCACTTCTGCAGTGTTGTCCTCCCCCTCCCTCCCTGTAGTCTTCTGGGACATGTGACAGGTCTCACAAGACTACGGGGCCATTCACAAAGCGCAGCGCTTCTCACGCAATTGCGCAGTGGGCACTTGGCTGTGAAGCCGCAAGCTGTCACAGCCGGGTGCCCACACTGACGATGCCGGGGAGAGAAGACGGTCGGTGAGAGCATGATACCGCTGGACCGAGGAGCAGGTTCTTCTGCACAGTAGAGCAGAGTGGCCGGCCCGGTATTCTAACACGGCGGTGGCGACGGGGGGGAATACCAGGCCGGTCGCTCCATACGACGCACAGACATTTTCCCCCATTTTTTGGGGGGGGGAAAGTGTGTCTTATGGAGCGAAAAATACGTTAAGTTAAAACACATGTAAAATAAAGACACCAAGTTGGCATCAACATCCACTTCCTGGATTGCAGTGGAGCACGATGACGTTAGTAGGAGGCTCCGCCAAAGGCGTTTTGTCATGCATGGGAAACCCGCATTTGACAATGTTCCTGGATGATACTGAGGTGACTTGGAGGGTAATCTATAGCAACCAATTAAAATTAATATTTGCAGGGGCGTCCCTAGGGTTGGTGTCACCCAGTGCGATAACATTAGGTGACACCCCCTTCGACAATCCCCGCAGGATGGATCGGATCTGCGGATTGAGCATAATGGATCGGAGTCCGATCCATTATCCTCCCCAATCCGCAGATCCGATCCATTATCCTCCCCAATCCGCAGATCCGATCCATTATCCTCCCCAATCCGCAGATCCGACCCATTATCCTCCCCAATCCGCAGATCCGACCCATTATCCTCCCCAATCCGCAGATCCGACCCATTATCCTCCCCAATCCGCAGATCCGATCCATTATCCTCCCCAATCCGCAGATCCGATCCATTATCCTCCCCAATCCGCAGATCCGACCCATTATCCTCCCCAATCCGCAGATCCGACCCATTATCCTCCCCAATCCGCAGATCCGACCCATTATCCTCCCCAATCCGCAGATCCGACCCATTATCCTCCCCAATCCGCAGATCCGACCCATTATCCTCCCCAATCCGCAGATCCGACCCATTATCCTCCCCAATCCGCAGATCCGACCCATTATCCTCCCCAATCCGCAGATCCGACCCATTATCCTCCCCAATCCGCAGATCCGACCCATTATCCTCCCCAATCCGCAGATCCGATCCATTATCCTCCCCAATCCGCAGATCCGATCCATTATCCTCCCCAATCCGCAGATCCGACCCATTATCCTCCCCAATCCGCAGATCCGACCCATTATCCTCCCCAATCCGCAGATCCGACCCATTATCCTCCCCAATCCGCAGATCCGACCCATTATCCTCCCCAATCCGCAGATCCGACCCATTATCCTCCCCAATCCGCAGATCCGACCCATTATCCTCCCCAATCCGCAGATCCGACCCATTATCCTCCCCAATCCGCAGATCCGACCCATTATCCTCCCCAATGCGCAGATCCGACCCATTATCCTCCCCAATCCGCAGATCCGACCCATTATCCTCCCCAATCCGCAGATCCGACCCATTATCCTCCCCAATCCGCAGATCCGACCCATTATCCTCCCCAATCCACAGATCCGATCCATTATCCTCCCCAATCCGCAGATCCGATCCATTATCCTCCCCAATCCGCAGATCCGTTCCATTTTGCGGGGATCGTCGGCTTGGTACCTATACGGGGTAAACTGATCTTTCCACGAGCTCCACGAAAAGGTAAATTTTAAAGCAAGACTCCGATCCCCGCAGGATGGATCGGATCTGCGGATTGGGAAGCATAATGGATCGGACTCTGATCCATAATGCTCAATCCGTAGATCCGATCCATCCTGCGGGGATTGTCGACTTGCTTTAAAATTTACCTTTTCGTGGAGTGGGTCTGGTGTCACCCTGTGCAATAGGTATCACCCGGTGCAGCACCCCCAGAACCCCCCCCCCCCCCCCCCCCGCACCTGCCTAGGGACGCCCCTGAATATTTGTGACCTGACTCCGCAGACATTTTATACTTCAGCTTTGCTTTTCTTGTTGATGTTTTCAGTAGTTCTAGAAGTCTTGATAACACTGCTTGGCATATGGTCATATCGTAATCTGATTGTTTTATATGTCAGACGTTCCAGCTGCAGCTCCTGTCCCCGAGTAGTAATGTCCTTCCACCTTTCAGCGCTGGATGTGTCACACAGGTCATCAAAGTTCTGAACCCCCAGAAGGTAAGAAAAGTCCGCCTGTGATTGGCCTTCAGACTAGAATCACTAATCCGAGAAACCAGCCTGGTGTCCAGTAAGGCCTCGATCACATGGGGTGCATTACAAGCTGTCGCACGCCCGTGTGCGCACAAGGCCTTTGGTTTGGACCTCCATTTACACATGTATGTTTCTGAAATGCATGGAAAACATGCTTTTTTTTTTTTGTTTTTTTGTGTTATTGTGTGTGATGTTTTTGTGTGTTTTTTTTTGTTTGTGTTGTTGTGTTTTTTGGTTTTGTTTTGTTTTTGTTTTTTTTTTTTTGTTTTTTATGTATTATATGTTGTGTGTGTTTATATATTTGTTTGTTTTATGGTGTTTTGTGTTGTTGTGTTATATGTATTGTGTGTGTGTGTGTGTTGTTTTTTTGTTTTTTATTTTTTTGTTTGTGTTGTGTTTGTGTGTTTTGTTTTATTGTTTTTTTTTTGTTTTTTTTTTTGTTGTGTTTTATATGTTGTTTTGTGTTTATGTGTGTGTGGGGGTGTATGTTTTTGTATATATGTGTGTTGTGTGTTATTATGTGTTTATATGTGTGTATATTTGGTATGTGTGTGTGTTGTGTGTTGTGTTGTATATATGTGTGTGTGTGGGTGTTTTTATATTTTATGGTTGTGGTTGGTAGTGTTATATATGTGTTTGTGTGTGTGTGATGTGGTGTTTTGTTTATTTGTTTTTGTGTTATGTGAATTAATTGTGTGTGTTATATGTGTGTGTGTGTTTTGTATGTTTGTTTGTGGTGTGTTTGTGTGTGTGTGTTTGTTTTGTGTGTTTTGTGGTGTTATTGTGTTGTTTGTGTGTATTTGGGTATTTTTTTGATGTGTTTATTGGAGTGTGTGTGTGTGTTTTTTGTGTGTGTGTGTGTGTGTGTTGTGTTTGTTGTGTGTTGTTGTATTTAGTGTGTGTGTGTGTTTGTGTGTGGTGTGTGTGTGTGTTATATGATGTTGTTGTATATTGTGTTATGTGTTTTTTATTATTGTGTGTGTGTTAGTGTGTTTTTGTGTGTGTGTGTTATGTGTTGTGTTTTGTTTTAGTGGTGTGTGTGTGTTGTGTTTGTGTATATGTGTGTGTTGTGTGTATATATATATATATGTAGTGTTTGTGTGTGTGTGTGTATATATGTGTGTGTGTGTGTGTGTATATGTGTATATATGTGTGTGTGTGTGTATATGTATATGTGAGTGTGTGTGTATATATATATATGTGTGTGTGTGTGTGTGTATATATGTGTGTGTGTGTGTGTGTGTGTGTATATATATGTGTGTGTGTATATATATGTGTGTGGTTGTGTGTGTGATGTGTGTATACTATATATGTGTGTGTGTGTATATGTGTGTTTATTTTATATATATATATGATTTTGGAGCTCCAGTTTGTTCGCGGCCTTGGCTGCCAATCACTGTGTCCCGGCCGGTGATTACTCACTGGTACCTAGTGATCACTGAGTATCTCCAAGGGGGGAGACCTGTGTATAAACAACACAGATCTCTCCCCTGTCAGCTCTGGCACACTGCTTTGTATGGCTCTGCATAGCACAGCTATACAAAGCAGTGTGCTTACAGTGAAGCACACACCACCACCATACTGAAATGGCACACAGTTAACCCTTTGATCGCTCCAGATGTTAACCCCTTCCTGCCTAGTGCCATTAGTACAGTGTCTGTTTTTTTTTTTTTTTTTTTTTTTTTTTTATTGCTCAGCGCTTGTGCATGATATGGCTGCTGTCTAGTACAATTATACTGTATATTTGTTATTCTATCCTAGGAGGCCCCGGGTGTGTAGTTGGTATAGGTGTCCGTCTAGCGGGTATTGGGGGGGGGGGGGGGGTAAGTGGGCTGGTGTAATTCCCCTCAGCTCCTCTCCCTCCTGTTGTGAGGGGGGTGTGATAGGATAGGTGGGTCTTCCATCTGGGGGGGTGCTTTGTGGGTTTGGGGTGGGTTCGGTGAGTGGTTGGTAGGGTGGGAGGTGGTAGGGGTTGGCTTATAGAGGTTTACCATCAGGGTAGGATAGTCCCAGTGGATATTGCTCCATCTTTAATGTCCCAATTGGAGGGTCCCCTTTTTTTTCCCGGAGGGTGGCGCCCCCGTGATGGCTGATTGTCTGTCATAGCTCCGATGTTTGTGTTTGTGATTGGTGTACAGTAAACTTTATTTGAAGTTAGCCTATTAGGTGTGTAGCCTATTTTTTGTTTTTATAGCGCAAAAAATAAACACAGAGGCGGTCAGATACCACCAAAATAAAGCTCCATTTGTGGGGAGAAAAACCGATGTAAATTTAATTGGGTGCAGCATTGCATGACCGCGTAATTGTCAGTTAAAGTAACGCAGCGCCACATTGCAAAAAATCACCTGGTCAGGAGTGGGAGGGGGGAATCCTCTGGAGGGCAAGGGGTTGACATAACTGTTTGTAAAGCTGTTTAAAAACAAAAAAAATTGTGTCTAACATGATTTCCCCCCCCCCCCCCTCTTTTCTACAGCAAACAACTGCGCATGCGGATCAAGTTGACATATAACCATAAGGGCTCAGCTATGCAGGACCTCGCCGAAGTCAGCAACTTTCCCCCCCCCTCAGTCCTGGCAATAAGACAGCGCCGTGTCTACACTCACCCCCACCCCCCCGACCAAGATGAAGGAACTCTGGGCTGGAGCCTCTGCCCCCCCCCCCCCCCCCCCCCCCCCCCCTGGATTGCCAATGATTGCACTTTGGGCCTTTGGGGTAGCGGGGAAAAAAAAAAAAACACCGGTAGAGGGACATTCTGCGACAGAGTGAAGCAGCGGGCGCAGGGCAAGGATGCTGCTGCCTCTCCTTTTCCTCCACTCGGGAGGGCGCAGCTGGGCCACCTTTTTTTTTTTTTTCTGTCCCCCCCCCCCCCCCTGCTGGGAGTTAGAGTTGATTATTCCCTGGCCGGATCTCATGGGATTTTGTGTTCTTATCCTCCCCTCCATCTCCTTCTGTACATTCCTGCAGCCATGTTTCCACTCACACGTAACGCCCTTCAGACTCTTCTCACTCTCTCTCCGGAGCGGAAGGAGACTTGTTTTTACAATACTGTTTAATAGTAAACTCCCAGGTCTCGCGACGACCGCCGCCGCCGCTCCCCTGCATTGGCTTGCACCTTCCTCCTGGATTCAGACCTGAATAAACACCCTGAAACCGCTAGTCCTGCAGCCTTTAATGTGAGCCCCCCTGGTTCAGACATAAACGTGAGCCCCCCCTGGTTCAGACGTAACGTGAGCCCCCCTGTTCAGACGTAACGTGAGCCCCCCTGGTTCAGACATAATGTGAGCCCCCTGGTTCAGACATAACGTGAGCCCCCCTGGTTCAGACATAACGTGAGCCCCCCTGGTTCAGACATAACGTGAGCCCCCCTGGTTCAGACATAACGTGAGCCCCCCTGGTTCAGACATAACGTGAGCCCCCCTGGTTCAGACATAACGTGAGCCCCCCTGGTTCAGACATAACGTGAGCCCCCCTGGTTCAGACATGTTTTTATTAAGTGCTCTATGCTACTGCTGTCTATTGCAATGGGCTGCATTACGGGTCACAGTGCCTGACGGAGAACCATTGCACGGCATAGGTCAGGTAAGCATTCACAATGCTAGATAGCCTTCTCGTGAGCAAGTATGTCAGACCTTTCGGATTGTATGCTAGATGTGACATTTATGGTACTGAGATGATGACTTCAAGAACTGAGCTGCACTTGCTATAGGCACTCGCCGCAGTATCCAAAATTTTTTTGTTTTTGTTTTTTTTTCTAGTTACAGCTGCTAATTTCTTAATTGTTTTATAGATTTTCTGTCGCCGCTAACAGGTGGCATTTGAAGAGTCGGCCCAGCCAAAATTGACATTTCAGATCAGCCAATTTCAACTGGGGGGGGGGGGGGGTCGCTAATCCTTCGCCACACAGCCTTGGATCCTTGTGACTGCTCCTGTCGCAGTGGGAGGAGTCAGCCTCTTGAAAGAAAGCGACCGCCTAGTCCGCGATTCACAAAATCTCTCCACTGGATTCCCAAGAAGAGACAAGAAGCTGTTGATCAGTTCAGCCGGCCAGCATCTACCCCCCCCCCCCCTCCCCCAAGTGGAAATGTCAGCTTTGGTTGTACTGACCCTTTAAATCACTTGATGTCCCAAATGAAACTATTATCTTAATAATGAGGGACACCTGCCAGTTCTGGTGTATTGGGTGGGGGTATAGTAGAGATTTAAGTTCCTGGCTTCTCCCTCCACTGTGAACCTGTATAGTATTTAAAGCCCACATGCCTTTTTTTATGGACGTTTTTTTTCTTTTGCAAAAGTGGAACAAGATCTCGGATCGTGAAATAGGAACAAAGGCTTCACTGCAAGCATAGGGGGGAGCTAAGTGCGGCTTAGTGCTGTTCTCCATCCATATGTGGACACCGGCTTAGCAGCCCCTAAATTGCCACATGTTGGTACTCTATTAATTTTTTTTTTTTTTTCTGTAAAGTTTTTTTTTTTTTTTTTTTTTTTTTTTTCCCCCCCTCTTTTGCTGTTTCAGTGAGTTACAATCTTCTTACGATGCCTCCCTGCTGGTCTCATTGAAAGGAACATTTAGATTCCATCTGTGAGTGGGGTGGATAACGAACTGCTGATTACCGCAGACTTATTTTTGAGATGTAAAAGCTAAAACTTGTAAAAAAAAAAAATTACGAAAAAATAAGTCATTGGGGAGCATTAAGGGTGTAAACATTTTCATGGGTTACTTAGACTGCTGTGTATTATCGTCTTTTGGTTGAAACAAATTATGAAAAAGTGAGTAATAAAGAATTTAAAAAAAAGTGACCTTGGTTATTGTAGTTTTGTCTAGTTCTGTTTTTGTCCGCAGTGTAAAATCCTTTTTCTGGAATCCATTGAGGGACGCAGGTTACATCCCTCCGGGTTTATGATCTTGCATTCAGTACTGATTTGCTACAGAACTAAGACATGCTTGTTGTAAATGAGATTATCTTGGCTGGCCTATAGTGATTTTTGTGTCAAAACGCTTTGTAGGGGGCAGTATAACCCAGATGATTAAAAGGCTTCTGGAGCCCCTCAATGGGCTCTGAAATAAAAGACTTTGCATAGAATACAACAACCCTATTTCTTTCTCTGCCTTTGAAGGACACAGGAAGGCTTTACCTTTTGAGACATCCAAAAGCAATCCAACTGAGGGTTGAGAAACACAGCAAAACACATTATTAAGTGTCATCAACTCGAGACCGTGTCCTAGCGACTTGAAGCGAGCTCTAAAAAGAAGTCTGCTTTGTGTAGCGAGATTCTCCTGTGTCCTCCCCACAGCTGTACTCAATGTGTCCAACCACTTAGCACGCAGTCTCCCCCTTCGCCTGCTTCCTTCGATCTTCCCAAACGTTACTTCCTTCTCCAGTGATCTGGAAAAACACACTAAGAGACCTGATGAGAAAAAACAGAACTGGGGACCAGCTACACATCAAAAGCCACCTGAAGGACCTTACGATCGAAGATGGCATCCTATGAAGCTACTGCGTTCACCTGGTAGAATTTAGAGAACGTGTGAACAGAAAACCAGCCTTGCAAATCTGGGAAATGATTGCTTGATGCTGAACAGCCCAGAAAGTCATTCGCAAATATTGTAGAGTACACATTGACAATTAAGAGTGGACCCTGTTGCTTGAGACCATAAGCTTGGATGACGACCTGCCTGAGCCATCTAGACAATGTGGGAAAAAAACCAGTTTACCCTTTTCGGTGGACCATTGCAAATAACAAAAGGGGAATCAGTAGAAGCCATTTGAGGCTGAGAGCCAAATGCTGGTCCAGGCCCAACTGTAGAGAGTAGAGGATTGGCCCTATGGAGAAACACCACTTGGCGTAATTCTCATGGCTTCCATCTAAGTGTGGCTTCCACATTCGATGATAGACCTTGCAGAAAGTAGACTTCCTAGCCTTTAGCAATGTAGGATTCACAGATTGAGATACCTCAGTCTAAAAAAACCTGGACTTCAACAGCCATACTTTTTAAAGTCTGTGAACTTGCAGCAGGGTGGTAAATCAGTCAAAAGATCCAAATTTTCTGGAAGAGCCCACAAAGTGATTGTCGGGAGTTTTACCAGGGTGATGTACCATATCTGCCTGGGCCAGTCTTGAGCAGGGGAATCATTGGAATGCCCTCCATCTCAATCCTGCCAAACAGAAATATGCTTTAGAAGAGGAAAGGTATAGATCAGGGTGTACTAATCCCAAAGAACCACCAGTGCATCCACTGCTTCCGCTAGAGGATCCCTGTACCTGGAAACAAACTTGTCGGGTGACCAGGAGGTCCGCACCTGGCACTGCACCTATGACACAGGTCTTGGCACACGTCTGGGTGTAGAAACCACTCTTTTTGGTCCAGGCACTGCTGGCTGAGGAAATCTGCCTACCTATTGTCTACACTCAGGATGCACAAAGCAATCAAGGCAGGAATGTGAAGTTCTGCCTAGGACAGGATCCAATCTACCTTTCTTCTTGTGATAAGACTTCAGGTTCCTCCTTAATGGTTGATTTGCACTACCGCCTCAGCATTGTCCGGCTGAATCTGGATCAGATGACCTTCCAGCTGGATGGTCCAGCAATGCAGAGCCAGCCAGATAGCCCTAAACATCAGAATGTTAATCGGGAGATGAAACTATAATAACCAAGTCCCCTGCACTGACAAAGTCTCCAGTCCCAACAGGCTGGCATCCATCTTGAAGATCTTCCAGAAGGAAGGATTTTCTGATTCCTAAGCTGGATTTCTAAAACTCCATGACAGAACAACCTGGTCCTTGGTCACAGACTAATCTGTCAACGGATGACTGACCTGTCCTGTGGTGACAGAATGTCTGGGCGTAAAAATGGGAAAATTGAATTTCCTGGACTGGAGAGCTCAAACCTGAAGTTTCTACTACAAAAGAAACCCTTTGGTATGAGCTGTGTGCAGTACTACACCCAGATGTTCTAAATGATGTCATTCAAACCATTGTAACATCTGTACAGTCAAAGCCATGTTGTCTGACAGAGCCCATGCCAGCTGTTCTCTCAACAGGAGGTTGTCCCTCAGCACCCACAATGGAGATACCAAGAGATCGTAGGGTTATCACAGGCACCTGCACCTTGGTGAACACCCAAGGTGAAGACGAGAGGCCAAGGGCAGGGCCAGGAACTGGAAAAATAGGGACCTCACACCAAAGCATATGAAGCACTGATGTTCCAAGAAAAAAAAAATGGAAGCATGTAGGTACATGTCCTTGATGTTCACAGAAGCTAAAAAGTCTCCCTGGTGAAGCGAGGTGATAACAGACCTTGTAGATTCTTTGCAGAATGTATGAGCTCAAGTGAATACCCACACGAGCTTTGAGATCCCATGATGCGATGGATACCTTATTGGATTTGCGAATGGTAAACAGGTTGCAGCAAAATCCTTAAAACTGTCCTGCCACAGGAACTGGGGCAATGACACCTTAGTCTAGAAGATCCAAGAGGGTTCATTGGAGATCTGCTAATTAGAGTGGTGACATAGGAAAATTGGAGGTGAAAAACCGTGGAGGGGGCAGAGAGCAAAACTCCAGTTTCTAGCCCTTAAATAT